TTCACCCGCACTTTCAAGCCGCAAAAGGGGCGCGACATCAACGCTTGTCCGCCTGTCCTACTACCCCGGGATGGAACAGGCGAGCGCGCCCAATCCCGGAGCGTGCCTTTAAAAGTGGCGATAGTCCATACAATAAAGCGCTGGAGGCGGCAGTGGAAGTACCAAAGGGAGATAATTGGAAAAATTTCATCCCAGCAGTCATTCCATCCAGCTGTGCTTCACAAAGAAAATTGGCTCTGTTATGCCAACAGGTCTCGTAGGACAAGTTACTGAGGGATGAAAATGAATGTTGTACGGAAGGTGTTCACACCTAATTTAAGAAACTGTAGGGATAGACCCTTAACAGGGTTCTTCCCCGAAGTAGAGTCTGTTACCTCCTACAGAATCGGAAAATAGTGAATGTTCAGGTACGCAAACTACATGAGGGAAATTGCGCCCCAAACGACTTCGGGATTGTCATCTTCAGAGAATGGCGCCAACAATCGGAACGACAAAAAAGGACCTCCTCATATTCCGACGCCGTACTTCCTCCCAAACTTCACTGCCGGGACACCACTCTTTGAGGGTTACCGAATGCTGTTTGCCAATCGGCAGCGCGAACCAAAGACTAAGCTTGATGAAAAGAAGAACAGCAGGCTCAATTACGCCGACTATAGAAGCATCGAGAAATTGTTGACCCGAATCACTTCGCAAAAAATACCCAAGACGGTCGAATACATTTAGGACGTCATTGTTTAGTGTGCATTCCAAGAAGTTCATTTAATAAAGATTCTGTGAAGTTTTTTACGAAAAAATTGACGGTGGTAGTTTTTCAAATATGTGGAGGGAAAAAGGCATTGTTCATTCAATCTTCGCACCGACCAAACTCGAGTTTAACGCTATCACTGGCCACCTCCGGTCTTTGGTAAAGAGTCCGACCACCGCAGTGATGTTCGATCTTCACAGAAAAAGGAAAGGGAAAGTAAGTTGATTCACGTCATTGAAAATCGATTGCTATCCGTATCAATTCTGCTAACCACTCGTAACACCAGTTATCAAATATGGTGTAAGATTGAAAAAAGGCAGGCTATGAGATTTGATAACTAATTAAGAGCTCCCAATCCTTGTACAAAAAATATTTAAATTTAAATAATTGCCTCGAGAACCGCAACCCTATTTCTCTCAAGGATCGAGGGTTCAAAAACCATGTGGTAGACAATCCAAAAAAAAGTGTTGTTTGTTCCTATTCCTGACATAAAAGTGTCCCAAATGTTTGGCAGCGGGGATGCTTCCATTTGCTTTATGGAGGTTTTTTCTCCACTCTCTGAAGAGATCATGTAACTCGTTCTGCGGCGCGTCCACCAATTAGGTTCCTGTCTGTTCCACTACGCATATTACCTCGCTTCATTCATGTAATTGGCTCCGCCCATTCTCGAGGTTTGTTTTCCGCAGAAATTGAACTTTTGCACATAGAAATTCGCATGCGGCAACAAACGATCACACATGACGCACTTATGTGAGGGATAAACACAACACGTCTCTTTTGGCTGAGTGTGAACCTTTCTCTCAGTGAAAAATGGTGTTCGCTGCAACAAAACCGAGTTCGTCGAGGTCAAAAGACTGCTAATGGCACGCTGCGAATTAATAGAAACCCTAAATCTTTTTTTTTTTTTTTTTTTTTTTTTTTTTTTTTTTTTTTTTTTTTTTTTTTTTTTTTTTTTTTTTTTTTTTTTTTTTTTTTTTTTTTTTTTTTTTTTTTTTTTTTTTTTTTTTTTTTTTTTTTTTTTTTTTTTTTTTTTTTTTTTTTTTTTTTTTTTTTTCTTTTTTTTTTTTTTTTTTTTTTTTTTTTTTTTTTTTTTTTTTTTTTTTTTTTTTTTTTTTTTTTTTTTTTTTTTTTTTTTTTTTTTTTTTTTTTTTTTTTTTTTTTTTTTTTTTTTTTTTTTTTTTTTTTTTTTTTTTTTTTTTTTTTTTTTTTTTTTTTTTTTTTTTTAAAAAAAGGAAACCACGTAGCCGCATCATTCGTTCGTACGCACCCTCACTTCGAATGTCCATAGTTCTGCTTATATTCCTTGCTACGCTGACAGCTTCTCAACTGCTCGATGGCGTTGTTGACTCACG